TTTCTCCGTCATTACAATGGATGTCCTACGGTAATAACGTAGAAAAGGAGTGGCGGGAATTTCAAATTTCAGCTTGATGGAATTGTTAAACGTCTAGGTGTTTTGTGCTGCTAGAACCCTCAGGTTTTCTTTTTTTTTTCTTTTAATTCTAAACATCTAAAATTTTAATACAAACTCTTCAATTAAAACTAGCAGTCCAATTCTGAATGCACTGTGAGGGAAGACAAAGATTGTAGTTGGAAATGGAGTGAGATATATTTTCTGTGCATACCCAAAGCTGGTGGTTATTTCCCATGAGACTTTGCGATTGCATGATAACACATTATAATTGAAACTAAAATATCAGTACTACAGCAATAAAAATGCATAAATTGAAATAATTGTTAACGTAATATATAAGGTAATTAAGCACTTAAAAATTACGCTATTAATGCATATCCATTTTTTAGTATTTAGTAGTAGCGAACGCGGGTTTCCTTCTCAATGAAAAAAAAAGTTATGGTCTGTTCATAGATATAAGAAAGTTACCAATTGCTTTTGAATGGGATTATCCAAGGGTTGTTATTAACATACAATGCAACAAGACTATTACCTAAAGTTTCGGAATTTAAATTCAGGTAAAATTGTGGTCCGTAATAGAATATATTTTATACCTACCTGTGTTTAATATTCGTGTGCAAATTATGCAAAATACGTGCGAGTCTAGTGTATCTCAGGAGATGCTCCCGCCCAAATGTAGAAAACACCATTCTATTGAGAATTCTATTGAGAATGTTTATTTGACTCTCATTGAACATGGTGCCAGCAAGCAAGCATCTTTAGAAGACACGGCCACTTGACGAAAATTCCAACATGAACTCTATGCAAATTGTGAATAATCCCATTTCAGCGAGGAAAAAAAGAAGCGATGCACACATTTTCTCGAGTGATCTCGAAAGTGATCAAGATATAATACGGCGTAAAATTTACCAGTTATACGAGGAACAAAGCGTGCCTACATTAGATAGCTTAATTAGGAGGCTTGAAAAAGATGAAACCGGTGTTAAATCTGGCAGAACTACCTTATGTGTATTCAACACATGGGTTTAATATCTAGAAAAAATTAGGATTTACAGAGAACAAACAAAGGCCAATTATTTACTTGGATGAAACCTGATTCGACACTTATGATACCCCTGAAAAGGTTGGGTTGACTCAACTGACAAGTGTAAAACAAACGCGCCATCAAAAAGAGGTAAAAAAAACAACTATTTTGCATGCTGGCTCTAAAGATGATTGGATTCCAAATGGACTTTCTCTGCCTCTGAAAACTATTAAAGATTCTTCTCTGAATTACCATGAAGACACCACCGATGATTTATTTCAAAGTTGGTTTAAAAACAAACTAGTTCCAAACATTCCTCCTAATAGCGTAATTGTAATGGACAACGTAAGTTATCACAGTAGGCAGTTGACTAAAACCGCTTCCTCGCGTGACACAACAGCAACAATCCAAAACTACATGTATAATAACGACACTTATTTTAACGAAGATTGTACCAAAAAGCAATTAATTGAAGTCCTACAAAGCTTGAGCCTACATAATATGAAAATTATGCAAAAAATCTGGGGCATACAGTTTTAAGGCATATTGAACATGTTTGGCACCAACTAAAATCTGTCATTCGTCGTAACAATGTTTTCCCCGTGTTATCTCCAATGTCCTTAAACTTATAGAAACCGAAGTTTTTAACATCCCTCCACAAAGTTGGGCAAATTCTGTTAAACATATAGAAAAAGCAGAACAATCGTATATCCATATTGCAAATAATAATTAGAACAGGCGATGATAGCGATAGTGATACTGATATATTATGTGAATAATTTTAAGTAATTTAAGTAGGTAATAAAAATAATTTGTAATTTTATTTTGGATTTAAACATAAATACATACATAGATAAATAAATATTGTTTAGTATCTTTCCTAACAAAACCCCAAATAATTAAATTCTAAGCAAAGTACGGACCTGTTCGGCCATATTTCATTCTTACAGCTTGCCCGGGTCTTTCCTTATTTCGTATCAGTTAGTCACTTTCTTATATCTATGAACAGACTTTAGCACTCTCAAAATTATAGTAGTAACAAGAAAAATTATATCTTAAACCAACAGAAATTTTTCAAAGAAACGTAAACAGGCTACTATAACACTACTACTATTTACAGTTTCATTTAAACTCTGAAGAAACTAAACGTTAACATCGAAATATAGTAGTATAATCATTCAAAGATCCTGTTTTTATTAACATTTTTTCAAATTTCTTTTTTTGTCTTTTTTTTCACTCTTTAAAATGAATCTTATGGGTACTTCTTGGTCACACCTAATTTCCACACTCTTAAACTAAAATTAAATCACAATAAAAGCATTAAAAAAGAAGTGAAACAAAAATGGGAAAACGTTTCGCGTCTAAAACGCTAATGACATGAATTATACACAATACTTACAATATATAACAAAAAAATACAGTGTGTTAGTTCCAGCCTATTATATAACAATATATTTATTTGCAGAAAAATATTATTTACGTCGTTATTTTAAAAAATAAACATTCGAAAAAAAAAACAAAAAGGTACCAAAATCTAAATTGTTCAATTTCACTTGCTATCTCAAAAACCAAAAGAGCTATGAGAATTTTGTTCCTGAGTTTTATAAAGAAAAAGAAACAGCACTGTTGCGAAAACAGCAACTTTAAAAATAAGCGGGATGCCGTAGAAAAGTGTCAAAAATGTACATCCTGTACATAGGAAAAGAAAAATAATACAAATTAATGAAGGAATACAGTTCGATTGATAGAAAATAACAACCAATAAAAACATTGAAACAAGTTATAATAATTAATGCAGCGATGGTTCAAAAACCTTTCCGCCTTTCGAATTCGTTTTTACAAAGGAAGTATCCCCCGACAATTCTAATTAGAGACTTTCTAAAAGCTCGTCGAAAACGTCTTACTTAATTGGTTCTATCCTTTCGGAATTTTTTCATTTAAATTCACTAGTTGTATTTCGCTCAGGGAGTTTCGCCGATGTCATTGGTATCGAAAAACCTAGCCGATGGTTAGAATAAGAATATATAGCTTTTATAAAATCGCAATTGAATCGCCAAATTTTAATTAAGTGCCAAACTAGGGGGCGTAAATCAATTTCAACGTTCAATTGCGGCGACGTACAAGGCAATACTCAAAGCTAGAATGACAAACCGGCTCGAACAAAATATCTAGTTAGAGTTTCCACAAAGCATTTGTTATCACAGTCGCAGCAGTGAATGTAGTTCATTTTACTTGCGTACTGCATGCATATTATATTGGTCCGTTTTAACCCTAAATCAGTGAAGTTATCCGACCAGAGCTTCTAATGTAACTCACAAAGGGGGCAACTCAATGGCGTGCCGAAAGCACCTGAATAATGTCTACTTCTAAACAAAAGTGGCAACCTGAAAGCTCGGAACATGATAATATAAGCCATTGTAAAAAGAGACCTAAACACTGAACTCGATCTAAACTGGAGTGATAGGTTATAGCTATTCGTGTCTTTCTCTGCAATAAACCACAAAATGAGGTGTTCTCGTTATTTATTTATTAGTTCAACTTATAGGCTCATTATCTAATAACAAGTTGCAGTTTCCGTAAAAATTAACTTCAAAACTAATTCAAAACTACTACTGCTTACAATATGCATAAAAAATTATTACAAATTTTGTAATTCTAATTTTGTACTTTTGTCATTAAAGGTCTTGTAGATTTTTAATGTGTTGTATGCGGGAAACTTAAGTATACCAAACTCTTATGTGCAGTGTCTACATTTTATAACCTTCTAAGTCACATAAGTATCAGGTTTTTATTTATTTTAATTACTTTGTTTACTGATATATTACCATCGAAATTATTTACAGATTATTATTTGAGAATCAAATAAAATTTTCTTTAAACATTTGTAATTCATATACATATGTAATAAATACATATTATGTGTGTATTTTTTTTTCAGGAGTATTATCTCAAAGCAGACACCTAAATATATACATTTAATTAAAACTTTTAATTTTTTGAAAAAGGAAGAAATTTTATATTTTCTTTTTAAATTCTTGTGGCAATTATATCAATACCAAAAAATTAAACACAAACACAAAATTGCCACAGTTAAAAATAATCAAAATATATCTCTCGTATAACCACTTACAGTTAAAAGAAGGCTAAACAATTAAAATGATTATCCAAAGTGCCATCTAGCAAATGATTTACTTTCAGAAAACCCAAACAACCAGAAAAATTCAGAAATAATATAAATAGTCTCTTATCACATATCTGCCATTAGTGTCTCCGCGACTGACAAAGAATCCCTATTATTAGCCGTCTCCCTCTAAATAAAATGTGCCTCACAAAATCAAGATTGGCTGCATTGTCATTCCAATTTAGATCGAGTTCGAAACTGGCCAAATAGCGCCACCTACGAAATGCCACCATCCAATGAATCTATATACCTATCAACCCTCTTCGGTCCATCTTTGGATATAAGCTTCCCCAGCCTTCTACGCTCTTTTGTTTGTCGCTTATTCTGGACCTGGCTTGATTTTCAGATCATCCGCCCACCTCATTTGAGGTCTTCCTTAATTTATTTTATTTTCTCTTTGTTTTTGCTTTTGTTTTATTTTATATCCATTCGTTTACTTCTCTATCTCTCAGTTTTACCCCTTACATTTGGCTTTCCATTGATATTTGTACTTGCGCATGTTTGCCTTTTTTGTTGACCATAGATCCATAGATCCGGTGATATTATAAAAATAACTTCAAAATATTGTTTCACGTCAGTCTTAGCACCTCATCAAATATTTTTCAAAGTAATTTATTATCTTAACCAATGTTGATTCAGCAATATAGTCCATCAGCTGTTGCCGTAAAAAGGAAAACATTACTTGTACTTTCTAATCAGCGTGAAGTATATTTCAGAAATTAACAACTATTAATGTTGATAGAAAAGTATATTATTCTGTTAAAAATAAACAAACGACTTTTTACTTTGGAACCATTTTACCACTGCTTCGCTTATTGAGCGGTTCGAACAACAAAGGAACACCGACGCGGGATACGAGGAAGACGCTACCAGGATCAAATTCCAGTGGGTCAGGCGTGTCAATATTCTTTTGAACTTCAAAGCTCGATAAAAGATTTATAATCCCCAATTTCACACCAAGCAAACCGAATCTTTCACCTACAAAATTAAAAGTTTCAAAATTTCAACATAGATAAGTTACGTGGGAAGTTTTAATTTTATCACACATTAGTCGAAATTTAAGATAAAACACAAAATGGTTGAACGATCAACATTCAATATATCAAGAACGAATATGAAATATTTAACAGCGGGCTTTCCTTCTGAATCAAAGCTTATGTGTAGAACATTTCTGCACACAAATTGCAGAGGAAATATCCGAATCAGGTGGTCGTCAAAATATATAATATGATAAGAGAACAAGGTTGTTTCCTTCCTCTTCTTTCCTTTTTTTCGATTTTACAACTGCACTTTGAGAAGGGGGCTAGTTTTGAAAAATCTATGTGGTTAATTGGTCGTGCTTTCAAAGATAAAACCTTACCGATACAAATGCGAGGACCTTCTCCAAATGGAAAGTAATTGTAACCGTCGTTATTGAGGGTGCTTTTGTCAGCAAATCGCTGAGGATCGTACTTTTGAGGTTCTGGATAGTAATTTTCGTCATAGTGAATACCCATCATGGGTATGATAACGGGTGTACCTTTTTCGATAACTGTTGTAGTTCCTGGGATTGTGTAATCATTGGTACACCGTCTATCCAAAAATGGAAGCACTGGATATTTTCGTAGAGTTTCTGAAAACCAAAATAACCTTAACAAACTCCAAACAAGTATTTAACTGTTTTCTGGAAGACTATTTAAGAGCAATCTTAATATTAATTAATGATATTAGAAGTTAGTGCTGCTTACCATTAATGCACATATCCAAATAATGAATGTCGTTTATTCCTTCGTACGTTATACTTCCATGACGCTCTATATTTTCTTCTATTTCCCTTCTGAGTCTATCTTGGACGTCTTTGTTCATAGCTAGTTCATATAGTAAAAATGCGATTGTACTGGATACAGTTTCAAATCCAGCGGTGAAAAATTGCATCGCTTGTGCCAAGAGCTTGTTGTCAGCTGAACAGAATGACAAGTTTGTTAAACAACACTTTAGTCACTTGTTTTGCAGGGGGTACAAATTTGTGGTACGATTAAAATTGCTGCTTACTAAATGCCTCGTCTTCATTAGGCGTTCTCTTAATTTGCAGCAGAAGATCGATCATATCGATTACTTTGTGACTCGCCACTTGCTCCCTTACAGAGATTACGTGCCTTAAAATGGCTTCCAATCGGACCACAATCCAGTTGTCCACTTGGTATACGCGTAGCAATCGTACAATTGTGGGCGTGAACCAACTCATTAGCTGCCTCACTGTGTTGGTAAATCTGAGTTCAAATGGAATACAAAGAGAAGAGTCTGATTGCCATGGCAGAACATAAACATGCATATTGTTTAACATTACATGTAAAAACCATTAATAATTTTGATATCACCAAATCAAAATGTGAATTTGCGTAACTTTAATTGACATTTTTTCAATAAAATCTCTAATTGGATTTGCTTTTACCAGTTACTTACCCCACACAACTGTAGCATTCTACAAACGCGTGAATCTTTTGGTTTCCGGTTAGGTTACGCTCAGCTTAGTTTATGAAAAAACAGTTTTTAGCCTTACCTTAAATCAAACAAAGCTCTACTCATTCTTCGAAACTCCGACTCTTCGTTTACGAAACAATTAGCTTCGACACCAAATGCACATCTGGCTATGACTCCCGTGGAGTATTTCGCGCACACTTCCTTCACTTCAATTGATCTTCCTGGTTTGCAATTACTTTTCAAGTAGTCGACCATTGATTCCGCCTCTTTATTAACTAAGGGATGCATAAGTTTTAATTTCCCGGACGTGAACACGGGACTGACCTTTGAACGAATCTTCTTCCAATAAGTGCTTTTCATGAAGAACATGAAATACGACATGAGCGGCTCGTTATCTGGTGCAGTCACCATCCTGTTCTCGAAATGTGCGAAATCCTTCTGAAGGACTGCTTTTACGATTTGTGGTGATTTTAGTATTAAGTAAGGCTCGGCAAATACGTATATACCAAAATAATCATGATTTTTGGCTTGGTCGTAAAGATTTTTCAGCCAATCTCCAACGAATACCTTTAGCGTGAGGACAGGATAGAAATTTCCAAACAATATAGATGGTTTAATGAAAAAAACATTTTTCCTTTGCCAATAAGATTGTTTTTTGTTTAAGAACGCGAAGATTAAAATTAAAACTATCAAAATTATGACCATGAAATATATGCCGCACGCCATCTGTAAGAGATACAACAAATTATTTCTGTGAGAAATTGATTATTATGAAATAAAATAGGCCTGTATCCAGAGTTATTACTAAAACCTCAAAACCTCATTACTAAAACAATAATAACAATGCCTATAATAACAAAAATTAGTAATAGAAATAACAAGCCATTTAAATAAATTTATGTCCTAATATAGTAATTAAAGTGATGATGATGATAGTTTCTATATATTTCTATAAAGTTTAATTTTGCCACCCTAGCATAAAACTTTAATATATTTTACTTTATCAGTACTTTTCCACTCTATTTGGTTGTACATGGTCTAACTCACCGAAGTTCTAAAAATAACGCTGGCACCTCAGAGATAATTAAATAATAAAAATAATAATATTTGCAGAAATATCTTTTTGCCACAATTGAATTTAAGAACCCCATGGCGGTCGAAATGAAAATATTTCCAGCAAGAATTCCATCACTACTTTTGGTTTTATATTCAATTGAAATACTTTTTTTTAACTAAACCACAAAAATATACATAAAATATATTTTCAAAGATCAAGCTAATTTTTGAAAAATCATCACCATTTCGATATTTTTTGTTTCTTAATTTTTATTAGCGGGGTACATACGCATATTGCACAAATACATCACCGAAACGATGGCTAATCTACGTGAACTATAACCCCTGCGTAAAATAATATGTGGCAAGCATTTTCTAATCTATAAAAATGCCTTTATGTATTAACATCAAGTTGTAGGAAATTATAAGAATCGCGTTTAAAGAGAAAACATTAACTGAGGTCGGCGGCAAAACTCCAAAGTAGCAAAACACATTAAAAAACAAACTGTATACCTAATATTTCGATTTGGCGGTTATGTTCAATTTTATTATTTTTATAAATATAATTAATTCGTTTTACCGCAGTTATCGATCAGCTAGCAGCAGCAACACTGTGCGTTCAAAGCACTGCACAAAACACCATTTAACTAATTATATCCTTCTCTGGGACATGACGTTGTCACGAATTAAAATTTATTTATTGGTTACTTTTCGATAATGAAATAATCTTTGGCGGTACTAATCTAAACATAAATGATGCCAGTACGCATGTAGTTATATCGGTTTTCATCCAAGCCTTGTTCCAGAAATTAAACAAAATAATTTTTCCAACATATAACCCGAGTTTCTAAATCGATGAATTTTATTCTTTACCGGTTATCGCAAAGCTGTATATTTTATATTTAGGTATACTAAAAATATATTATTTGTTGAATATTAGCTGCCATGACTGAAATATAAATATTTCCTAATTTCTTCCTAATCATGTTATGAGCAATTAAAATATGATTGCAAGTTAAACGGCATATTATTAGGCCAAGTCCAAGTCCAAAAATAAGCAAAGATGTTGCTAGTGACATCTTTTAATGAAAAAATAAACTAACGACGTAGCGGAAAACTTCCCAACAGAATGCTGCAGCTATTGATCCCAGCAATATAACTGTTCTATCATAAAAATATTTTTATTATTTTGTTGTGTACCGAACAAATTTCATTATTTTTAAATTTTGCAAAATTTTGAAGAATATGTTTTTATACCGTGTTTCATTAATAACCACACTCTCACCGGAATTAATCGTCTAGGAAATATCTACTTCTCGAATGCTGCCCGTGATTCCATTGATTATTAACAAATTTGAGGATATTTAGAATATGCATTGTCTGGTATATTAATTATGAAAAAAGTGTGACATTTTTTTTTAATAATAAGAAAATTTATCAGATTTAAAAATGTAGTTTAGGTACATCTGAAACAAAAAAATGCGTTAAAAGCACACCCTTTTATGTATCGTACCTTAACTACCTCCATCAACTGAAAAAAGAAAACAGAAAACGGTTAAAAGAGAATCAAGATACATATCGGCTTATATCTATCTAAAGTGGGAAAAAACTGTACACAACATACTCTGTTTTTAATAAATTAAAAAAACGTTAATTTTTTTTAAATAAAAAACCCTATTTATTTACAGGTTTTTAAAAAATACTTTTTGACGACAAAACATGATGTAATTTTTTATAATTTTGGAACACGGTTTTCTTCTTATTGCATCTTTGAAGTCATATCCACTTGGTGAAAATAAAGCAATGTCGAAAGTTAGCGTCTCTAATATTTCCAATTTAGTTTGTGTCAATTGATCGGTTAATTAACCAAAATAATTTTTAAAATACCATGAAATTTATATTTATATTTACATTGGGCATTACGTCGCCGTCGCGTCATTCTAGGAACCAAATGGAGTCGATATTATTATTGGGATTCGTATCGTATTTGGATATTCCTTGGTAAATTGGACATCACAAACGCATAATAATTGAATATAAAATACATATTATTATTAAATAATTATAGATCATATTCTACAATTGCAAGATATTATTTAAAATATTTTTGACTAGTCAATAAAAAAGTGGTCAATTAGCCATTCCCAAGACTAGTTGGGTATTATATTATATATTAAATATACTAATTAAGTTGGAATTGGAATTTGAATTTATTTGATTCGGGCGCTCAGGTTGTTGTGCTATTGTGCCCGGGCCCAGTGAAGGAGAATTCGTGAGTTACGAGGGAGTCTAGAGGAGACCGACTGCCGAGGCATAGCGAATCAGCCTTCCAACACCCACTTCCAGAATGTTGATACTATTTCCTGTGTCCACTCCCAGAATTTCCTCACGGAGTTCGCTAAGTAGTTCACAGTCGACAAATACATGCAGATGAGTTTCATCCGCTGCGTTGCATCTTGTCATAATACATCTTGTATGATGCCAATGTTCCTAAGATGCTTTCTTGTTGAACAATAGCCCAATAGTCAGCCTCAGCTGAAATGGACTTTTAATGAAGCTGTCGGGTACTGGGGTAGGACAGATAGGTAGTATTTGTTTTTTTTTTTTTTGATAGCCTATCTGTCCTCTCGTTCTCTAGGATTCCATAGTGTCCTGGGACCCAGGGAGTGTGACGTGATTTGCCTTAGCAAGTCTGTCAAGCATCTCAATGCAATCTCGGATCATCCTTGAGATGATTTCGACTGACATAAGCGACCTGAGGGCTACACGGCTGTCGCAACATATATATGTGTTTGTTCATGTAATTTAGGCCGACAATATCTGGCACCAGCCCAAATGGCATAAATTTCCGCTTGGAAGATGGTGGTCATATGTCCCAGTTTTAGAGTTTTCTCTGTTCTTGGTCCATCGCACCAGTATGCTGTTCCTTTTTGTGTCTTAGACCCGTCTGTGTCTCAGATGAGCCGCTTCGGTTTCAGAGAGGGGGAGTTCTCTGCCCAATCCTGCCTATTAGGGAAGATTACTCTGAAGTTGGTTTTGAAGTGGTAGCTCGTGGAGCTGCGATCACCACCCAGGGTCAGAACCTGCTCCAGATCCTTGTCCCTAAGTATGTCTACATGTCCATAAACCGCCTTCCTCCAAAAGCCATTAAAGTGCAGCCTCATGGCAGTTTGTTCCGCCGAGGCTTTAGCATATAGAGCATTAGCATTTAGTATAGCTAATTAAGTTACTATTTGAAAGCTATGAAAATATCTCTTGCCATATTTCCAAAAACTTTAAAAATACAACGTTACGTTTTTTTAAGGACATTTTCACTGACTATTCTTGTACATTTTATTTCCTGCAAAATACACCACTTTCTGCAAAATTTAGTAAAAGCCTACACTCAGTAGCTAACCGACTTTTCTCATTTTTGTAAGCTACTGCTTAACTTAATTTTACAGAACATGGTGTTTTTTTAGAATAAATAAAACAATATCATTTAATTTAATTTTAAAATATTATTGTCAAGATCGGAATCCCGGTTCATATTATACCATTTCTAGGTTATCAGATATGGACCTCAGCACTCGATCTGCTTTTAACAATCAAAAAACAAATTTTATAACTATATCAATTGTTTTCCGAAAAAAAAAAAAAAAAATATATATATATATATATATATATATATATATATATATATATATATATATATATATATATATATATATATATATATATATATATATATATATATATATATATATATATATATATATATATATATATATATATATATATATATATATACTTAAAAAAAATGTTCGCGCAAAGTATTTGTTGACCACGACTACATATCTTTTACTCAATTATGATGTTGATCACATTAATCGTCTCCTAAAAAATGGGAATGGCTACGTGGGTAGTGCAGGGCTTTGTTATTTATTCTGGTGCAGGTTGACTAAATTGTTGTTTCCGGTTCTTCAAGACCTGCAATAACTTTTACCATGGTGAAATTCAAATTAGAACAACACATGGAAGATGTAATAACATCTTTTGTTTTTTGGATTCTGTTTTTTTTACGCGAACATCGATAGCGTTTAATCCGTTATGTTGTACAATGCAACAATTATTAAATTATTCATTGCCCTGCTCCCTTCCCCCCCTGCATCAAAACATAATGGAAAGACCTTGCGCTGTGCCCCGATATCCCCCAGCTGGCCCGGCAGGAATGCCACTCCTTACTATCGCGTCGATATAGCAATAGCTCGCGCGTAACGCCCTGGCAAAACCGCGCTACCCGCTTTCCCAGTCACCATTTCCTTTAATCGTGTCATGACGCGGCCGATCAACAATCACCAATTATTTTGCCCTCGTTGTAGATGACGCCCGCGAGGGTTGTCCAATGGATATTCCTCGTGAAACTATAGTTGCGAAATAAAGTGCAGCTTAGTTCCGGAGATGGAGTTGCGGATATGCAAAACTCCGATATACGTAATGCAACTTTTCGTATTTATAACGAGCTTTGACGGTGGCCAAACGGGGTAAGTTTGGAAACTTCTTTTGAGCCTGATTGGCAAGAGAAGTTACCATTTAATTTAATAGAAGTAAAGGGTTTAATAAGTGTGTAATAAAGATTTGTTTTCGGTTTTGTTTTTTTTTTTTATTTGAGAGGACGTGTTGCGAACTTGAATATTATTGGACTTCTTTTTTATGAGATATTTAATGGCGCGTCTCACATTCAGACAGGGTCATTTAAAGATAGTTTGAATGCTCAGCCCCAAAATAGCGGTAGCGGGGTCAGCAAAATTCGGCTACCCTGCAAAATAATTCGAGTTATACTGTTTTTTACAGAACATTTTGTACTATACGGTACGTACTATAACTTCAAGTTATTTGAAACAACCGAATATCAAATTTTTAACGGAAATACAATTTAATATTTAAAAAAAAATTGTTCCAAAATTACAGCATGCAAGTTTTCATTCCGCTTAATCAATTTAAATGCGAAAAATAATCGATAATCCCAAGGTAGAAACTGAGAAGGACTTTTACTGCATTAACTATATACATACATATAACTATAACTTATCGCCGGCTTCTTCTTAGAAAGCTAGCATTTCTCAAATATATTTTTCGAAGAAACAGGGTCATGGTAAATCTATAAAAGAAAATAAATCCTTCTTAAGCAGTCAAAAAAGTCAAAGTTGTTTTGTAGATAGAATTACGATAATTACGATCTGGCAGCGTTAGTTGATGTTATACTGATTTTATTTCAAATTGCATAACAAACAACGTACATTGAATCGTCTGGTACTTGTGTTCAAATATGTGGATGTTTTTTGACCAATCCAAAAATTTTGATGCAAAATTTATGCCGTTTTATGGTGGACATAATTAAATTACTAATTATATTAATTAAATATTAGTTTCAATTGTGTTCGCAAATAACTCGAAAAGAGACCAAAAAAAGCAGACTGAAATCCACCACTCTCTTAAACATCTAACTTACATTTACTACCAATTACTCAAAATGCTCAAAAGAAGAGAGGATTAGATTGTAGTGCTTACTCCAAAAACTTTAAACGCAATATGGACTTCCTCAAAAAACTGTTGTATATTTGACAAGCTATTGTGTGTGGCTCCATCTGTAAGCCATAGAGCATTGATAAGTTATAAAATTGCTCATCCAACTTTTGTTTAGCAAAAACACAGGTAGCGAAAACTACATGGGTGACGTCAATGTGTCGGCAATATTAGACTCGTTCAAGCAGAGCTACGACAAACGAATAAGGCCCAATTACGGAGGTAGGTTTTACAGTTTCTCTCAATAGATTCAATTAAATCAAAAAATAGAAGCGACCAGTGTTTTGTTTTCGAAAATTAGGTCAGCTTTGAAAAGAAGTGTTCGCAACGCAAATTGTGTATTTCCATTTGGTTAATTCTGCCGTTTATTTGTTCACTGAACAACACGGTTGAGCTAAAATTAGTAACCTCTTGTTCCTTACAGGTCCACCAGTCGATGTAGGTGTGACAATGTATGTTCTGAGTATCAGTTCACTATCAGAAGTTCAAATGGTACTTAACTTTGAGCAAGCTAAAATTATATTTGCATGCGTTATCAAAAATTCTAGAGGTCCATTCGCAAAGACAGTCTCATTTGTTTTTTTCAAAATAACCTGTAAATTTAAGGAATGCGTGGATCTGAGGGTAACTTGATTTTGATTTGGTTTTCACTCAGGTTTTTACCGGGGTCCATAAAAAGTTCAACAAAAACGCCAAAAACTAAAGTGAATTTACACCTGATTTAACTTCTAGGACCTCCCGTCGATGTTGGAGTCACGATGTACGTTCTCAGCATCAGTTCAGTTTCGGAAGTGTTAATGGTATATTTTTTAACGAAAAAATTTCAATCACGCGCCGTGTAAAAAGCCTGCTATGTCAATCAATCTACATTACAGAGATGAAAGTTTGCCTGAATTTCCATTCTATTCTTTTTGCTTTTTATTTCAATTAAATAAGCACGCTAACAAATTGCAATCTCTTCTTTGCCATTGCTAGTGTGTCGACCGATTTAATTTTAATTTAAATGCTTATTAAAACTTGAATTTGCCCCGAATAGATAAATGGTTAAGGAAAATTTTGCTGAAAATTTGAATGAAACGTTTCTCTCAACCTTATTTACTACGGTAACGGTCCTGAATACCTTGACTGTGTGCATGTCATCCATTGGCCAATCGCATATCCATATTGAATTTTTTGGTCGAGCAAATTACAAAAATTAAAATTCAAAGTCCAATTTATTCGATTTATTTTCATCGTTTAAGCTTTTTTTGTTTTTTGCGATTGACTTATCCCAATAATAAATATATTAATAATTTGAATTGACAACCTATTGCTTGGCCAAAACTACATAATGTATACTAAATTCTGCTTTGTATATATTTCCGTGCGCTTCTTGATGGAATAAATATATCCTTATAAAAATGCTGGAAACCAAATCAAGGATGTAAAGGTCCCTCTAGGACGTGACCGCTGGATAAATAATTTAAATTTTAATGGTAATTATTTTGAAAAAAAATGTCATTAATCATCTAATGGTAGCAACACATATGCTCGGAGTAGTAGTAGCGGTAGTAGTAGGATAGATTTTTAGCAAGCAAGGGTCGAACCCCTCTTACGAGTTCTTCAAGAATATATATGAATATTTGACAATGACAAATATCATATTTTGACTTCTAAATTTTGCAGCACCTTTCGTGTCACCCAAAAGTGCCAGCTTTGTGAAAACTGTAAGGCTCTATATTTACTAGAAATGGGACCAGCGGTAACCTCCAGGGTTACCCATTAATTCCCTTAATTAAAATTAACAACTTTGGTCAAGAATCTCAGAAAATATTTTTTTTTTTAGTAAAACATCCTTTACCTACATATCTCCAAATTTCATACATCTCTTTGTCACATAACATACGATAAATTCACAACATGACTTATTTTTATTTTCATGCAAAAGTATAAGGGAAAACCCCCCACAAACCTTTGACATGTCCGCAGGTAAGGAAGTACGTGCATTGTTTATTGTGGAACAACTCTGAATATAAAAATAAGTTTGGTTATTTTTGATACGAAACATTTGTTTAAATATAAATTTTACTTCAACTTCTGTAAACCAGTTTTAATTTTACAGTAGAATGCAAAATGACATTTAAAATAAAATCACACAATTACCAAATAAAACAATGTAAAAAATGTCACTACGAGTGAGCAGCCAGAACAGTTTCGGGATGGGCATCATTGCAGGGATGACGTTTTAAACAGATTTGGCGACACAACTACGAACATTTCAAGAAGAAAAACGACCACAAAACGAGAGTTTTCCCTTCCCCTGTTATATTCGGGCAAAAGACGATTTAACGATATTTAAATATCCCTTGGTATAAAACAGTGCTTTCGTATAGATTTGGAGTAGCCATTTAAAAGTTCAAAGGAGACCAGTAGACTTATATGAACTCTGACAGTTATCTAAAACATAAAAACTAATGTTTTCTGTCTATTTCAATGGAGGCATTGCACGTTTCCTTGTGTGCATGTGTATGTTCCCCAAACTTTGGCATCCAGTTCAAAATATATTCTTATCGATAGACATGATTTGGATTGCAGGATTTCACTTTGGATTTCTACTTCCGGCAGTTCTGGACAGATCCCCGCTTAGCTTTTCAGAAAAAGCCCCACGTCGAGATGTTGTCGGTTGGGTCGGAGTTCATTTCAAATATCTGGGTACCTGACACATTTTTTGTTAACGAAAAAACATCATCTTTTCACAAGGCCACTACGTCGAACGAATTCATAAGAATACACCATTCGGGGTCCATTACTAGAAGTCTTAGGTACGGCATTGATTATTTTGAAACTACTATTTTTGTAAACGTTTGAGCGCCAGTGAATCATAGTATATTTTGCAGGCTAACCATAACTGCATCGTGCCCCATGAATCTAGAGTATTTCCCAATGGATAGACAACTGTGCCACATTGAAATTGAAAGCTGTAAGTAACGTTCTTCATGTGGTTCTGAACAATAACTTTTTTTTTTTGGAAATTAGTTGGATACACTATGAGAGATATAAGGTATAAATGGAACGAAGGACCAAACTCTGTAGGCGTTTCTAACGAGGTCTCGTTACCGCAGTTTAAAGTGTTGGGTCACCGACAGAGGGCAATGGAAATATCCCTCACCACCGGTAACGTTTTACAACACTTCCAATAGTTATTTAGAATGAGATAGTATTGCGGAGCAACTTTCTGTACCGTTGTAAGAAATATTTGTTTCAGGAAACTATTCCAGATTGGCCTGCGAAATTCAATTCGTTAGATCGATGGGTTATTATCTAATTCAAATCTACATTCCGTCCGGACTGATAGTAATTATTTCGTGGGTGAGCTTTTGGCTAAATAGAAACGCAACTCCAGCCAGGGTGAACCTTGGGGTCACAACCGTACTGACCATGACGACGCTTATGTCGTCCACGAACGCTGCTTTACCAAAAATCTCCTACGTCAAGTCTATAGATATTTATTTAGGAACATGTTTCGTAATGGTATTTGCTAGCCTGCTAGGTGAGTGAGTAGTAACCAAACGGAACTGCACATGTTCATCCTCAGGACCAAATTCTGGACTAACACACAGCGGACTCTTAAAAAACAGTACATTAATAATAATCATAGTAATAATAATATACCTCTCGTTTCTTCTTTTTTCAGTTCACACTCTATTTAATAAATGACATTAAAATAATTTTATAAAAATGTGAAAATAATTTTACTTCCTGTTGTTTCCAAAACGGGTTGTTTTTCAAAGAACAAGGACTTTACCATTGCATTAGACGATTTGATATCATCATATGGCATTGAACATCAGAAAATAGTACACTCGTTGTAAATAAAACTTACCGTCATTATTTCCGTAATTAATTAAGCAATTTTGTTTAAACTAGAGTACGCCACGGTGGGATATATAGCAAAAAGAATACAAATGAGGAAAAACAGATTTATGGCTGTTCAGAAAATAGCAGAACAGAAGAAGCTGAGCGTTTACGGGGCACCGGAAGACCATGCTCCTCGACCTACCGTAAGTAACACGCCAAAAATAAATTGTCTGAATGCCATAAAAACAAGAAATTGAAAACCAAGTGTTATGGATGTCGAGCAGAAATTATGATCCAATTATAAGCGAACATAAGGAGTATTATTTTCTTTTGAATTGAATTAGATCAACGGCAGCCAGTAATATTTTTGCTTTCGAATTGAGTTAAATGAATGTTTTCCTTTGTTGCTTTAATATATTTAGGTTTATTAATTGCTTATGGGTTACTAGTTTGATTTATATTCCGAGCAGACCAGGTGAGCGCAAATAGTCTATTCTCTCTATATTTTCCAGACGCCATGGGCCATTGCCAAGCTAGTCTATTATTTAATAAAGTTTATGATTAAATCCAAGTTATTTAAATAGAACGTTGATATCGATATGTAAATATGTATGGTCTATAGGATGTGCGGGCGAAACCAAACGATCCCAAAGTACGTAGCAGGATATGCGCTGCCGATGGCACCATGAATGGAAGGCGTGGTAGCCGAGAAGGAGGCTTGGACGATGAAACCAGCGGTCCCCAACACATCATCCATCCCAGCAAAGATTTAAACAGGATGTACGGCGTCAGCGCGTCAGATATCGACAAATATTCGCGAATAATGTTTCCAGTGTGTTTCGTCTGTTTCAATCTGATGTACTGGATAATTTACTTGCATATTTCGGACGTGGTCGCCGACGATTTGGTGCTTTTGGAAGGTGTTAATTAAAGACGGAAGAATTGCAACCTTCCGGTAACGTTTGCTCAATAATGTCTAAAGCAATTACCAGTACAATTTGCGAAATTGTCGGTTTAGTAATTAAGCTGCAAGAATATTGACTATAGTTTGAAGTGTGGAAATTTTCGGATCAACGACGTCAGCTCACATAGGAATGTAAGACTTAACTGCACTTCATTGAAATACCGGGATGACTAAATAAGTATGCAAGGTAACGTACCTCGAAAACTGCTTATTAAATGGAAATGAAAATTGTTTTTAACCTGTACTGCTCTCCGTGGATTAGTGGTGAAACTTTTTTTATTAGGATTGCCACTTTTGGTATCATATATTTAGCGTCGTTGAAATGAACTTTTACTTGATGTGTCCACTAAAGTAGAGTTTTCGATATCAGGACAACAATTTTTAATTAAAAAAAACTTGAACTTGTCTCTCTGCCTTTAAGATGCAGGTATTTTATTTATTTAATTTTTTTAAATAAAGATTGCGACCCCATATCACGCTAGTTACTATCTGGGAAATATTAACACAATTCCTAAAGTTTTTTGTTCACTGTTTTCACCCTACATATACGATGTGTTTATTTCGAGGTACAGTACCATGCTTATTTGACCACATTATAGTTAACCTTTGAAAAATAAACCGCAAGCCCAGCACATATTTTTCTATAGCAATTTAGGGCCGTTCCTCTGTAAATATTCATACATAAAATATTTAAAACAAATACTGGCCCGGATACTTTTATGCAAATTGTTTCAAAATGTGTACGCTTAAATTCAATTATGCTTTCCATAATTTCATTCCATTTCAATCAATTATCAATTACATTGCAGTGCTCTAAATATGTTATGTGACGTCTAAACTTACGGAACACCGAATTTTACTTAAAATTCTTTCGAAATTAGAAAAGTAATTAAAAAAAATATTTATATTTATTGTGGTAATCGGAACTTAATGTTTTTTTTTATTGCAAAATTTATTTTGACATTGCATGATCATGGCGATTATTAATACTCGCTAATTTCAAATTGTCAGCTAAAATCAAGATTTCCCGGTTGGATTATGGCCAGAGATACACATTAACACAGAAGACTGATAGAAAAAAAATGCGTTAGGAAAATACTGATTTATTTCCGAATAAATTTGCTTATTATTTTGAGAACGCTAATTTGGTTCCTCCTTTATTTTTAAATCGAGCGAAGTGGTGGTTTCCGAAATTTGAAATGATAGATGTGCAGAAATTTTTGTTTTCCTCACACCTTTTCGTTACACAATAAAATTTACTTAACTTTAAGGTAAAGTCAAAAAGTAAATTATAACATTGCGAAAACCAGAAGGCTAAACATATTTGTACACCGTTTTAAAACGATTCTTATATTTTTTCTATATTTCACTAGATAATATAATTTTTGGTCATTTTACATGCTATAACTGCTCTCAAAACTGTAAATAATTAGGGGGGTTGCCAAATGAACCAAAAACTCGTAAACAAATTCTTAAAACATTTGAGTTGGTTCACGTATTTGACATCCCAATGGATAAATTGGTTAGTGATATTAAATTATTAAGAGCTTTTCAAAAACTGCCACATTCTCTCAAGTTCACTACTTTATATTCAGTTCAATTCAATTGAATCATTTTTTAAAATTTAATTATATCAAAAATTACGACCAAAGAGAAATATCGAGAACGCAATGAGAACGCTTACTGACGCATTAAAAATGGTTTTTGCGAAAACGTAGCAGAAATGAAAATAATTCTAATCCTAATAACAATTGCATTAGAAAAGCGATTGGCCTTTCTTTTTTTCTCTATTATATTAAAGAAAGTCCCCTCGAGGTGACACTGGCAACTAAAGTCCAGTAATTCTTAAATTTTCTATTTTGCAAATGACGTTTTCCTTGCAATTTTGGTTACTTTTTTTAAATTAAATTAATAAATTTTAAAAACGAAGGCTTTTAATTCCGAACTATATTAGAATGTAATTTTGAAAAGCTCGAATAATAATTACAGAAATGTAATACAAAGTAGTAATAGTTTTGTATACGCACCATACTTATATTACAGTTAAATTATTTGTAGGGATTTACGCCGGGTTGATTTTGACTTACACAATGGAGGTTAGTTACTTAATTAGCTGGAGTATTATTTAACTTTAACTTCAGAAGATATATATAAATATTTCAACAATTTGTTTCGGTGACACAACAATTGGTCAACTATTAACTCCGCGTAAGCTTATCATATTGCTCAGTTGTTCATATATTGATAGAAAGTATATGTACTGTTATATTTTGAAATTATGCTATAAAATTATTATTAAGTTTTAAGATTTACCTACTTAGGATACAAAGTATGGCCTACGCCCATGCGTATTAAAAGGCACATTTAAATAAATTTAAAAAAAATCGCTATCGTTTTGGTGTCTCACTTTCATCTCCTGAAATGAGCTTCAGTCGTACAGTTTAATCGATTATATTTTCTATATGAAGTATAATTGCGAATCTCCGTTTATGTTTGTTGTTTTTTATACTTATAAAATTTAATTAATTTATTAATTAAGAAAAGTCAAACATATTAAAAAAAATATTTTCTTTAAACCCTCGGATTTAAAATTAGGAATAAGGTGACCATAAAAGAGGGGTAGAAAATTCAGAGAGAAATATTTCCAATATCAAGTAGCCATTCATTTTCAATATCATTTTATTAGTTAAAAATTGAGGTTAGTTAACTACTTAATACGAAATTAGTTCTAACCGTAAATATCGAAGGTAAAATTGGCAGCATTTTTTGCATATTTACTAATACCACAGAGACCTCTGTACAGTCGATTTCGTTTCTCCCCATTCGAACATTCTGAGGCTGGTTGCCCTAAAAGTGAACGTTATAACGTTATTATGGGTTCTTTAAAATGTAAAATAATTTTGTTGATCAATATCGAGTTAATTTGTAAAAAAAAAACAATATTTTTGATGAAGAGAAAATTATTGTTTAGTTTGAACACCTTACCTATTTTGTAAATGGGCAGACCGACAAAATTGCCACCCGGGCCGTAGTTGCATACGAAGACAACTTGATACCAGGTAACGTTGAAAATTTCTTCGCTATAGTAAGTCATTGCGCATCCAACGTCAGTAGAATCAGCCCAAATCAATTGTGTGTAATGACCAACTTTATACTCGCTACCCCTGCAAGAAAAATAATGGTTTGATTTCATTTTATTTTTTCGTTTCAGAACTTACTAGAAGAAGTATACTAGTCATGAATTAAGCTGTTCAGACCCGATGCATTCTTTAAACGAGTGAATATTCCCAATACGTGAATTGGAAATTTACAACATACGTAGGAACTAACATAACCAAACTTAAACCGTTTAACCAAAATTTGTTTTAACCAGCAATAAAAACATCAAAATTGAAACATAGAGACATACATACAAGCACAAATAGAATTACGTCAATTAATTTGACAAGGCAAAAATATGGTCAGGATGAGGATGAGTCGAACTAAAGTTTGCAAGGAAAAACTGATCCATAAATAGAGAAGGACGAAGATAGGTGTAATGAAGTTTTGAATATATTTTTTGTTTAATAGAACCTTTCATTTTCACATGAAAGACTTATCAGTACGTGAATATCAATTTAATTGGACTATTTACAAGTCAAATAGTATTAGAGTAATCTGTGGGATTTTCCTTGAAAATTTTAATTCACTACTAATGATATAACAATTTGTTTTTAGATCAGATATTTCTGATCATATTATAGTGTAATGTATAATAAACATGTCTCTTAACCAAAACTGGAGTACAAAATATAAATGGAGTATAAAATATAAATTAAAAAAAAAAACTTTTTTGACAAAATTGTCGTGGCAGAATTTTTCATATCGTATGGTTTTTTAAAAAAATTTATATAGAGAGTGAGAGTATAAATATTTGTATAAAGGCCTATTACAATTCAAAAGTATGCAAATTCGGACCTACTTTTGAACCGATCTTCTATATCTTAAAAACAAGCTCATTTGTTCTATGGTATTTGTCTTATTATTATTATCCAAATTAAATAGAATAAGGATTAGTAACCATAGTAATTATCGTTTATTATTACTGTAATATCAAATAATTAAATAAAGTATGACGGTTATTTAACAGACATTTACCATAAAACTTAAAAAATTTAAAAACTTTCAAGAAATTAAACAACTATGAATTTTATATTCAAAAATTGAATTTAACCAAATTCTTGAATTATTCATGTAAAGTGTGGCAGAAACTATATTTTAGGAATGTTAATCACACAAAAAAGAAAGTTTTAAAATTAAAAAAACATCGAAAATTAAATAGATACTTAACTCCTGAAACTTTTTACTTGTCAATTTTTGAACCAATGACTATTGTGGTCTTTAGTTTCTCTAATCCGGAGATTTCCCCGTTAGTTAAAACACCCTCATTGAAAAGCAGTACGATCTGGAACTATGCGTGCAATTTTGAGACCATAATACCCCATAATACCAATTCTTATTTGATGAAGATGTATATCACGGGAATACTGAAGATCATAAGAATACGCAAAATAGAGAAAGGTTGAAAAATTTAAAGAAAATTTAAAAAATTCCTGTCATTTTCGAAGATACTCCGAAAAAAACTGAATTTGAAATTTTCGTTTTTTTTTCTGTCGTTATATAAAGAGACACCACTTTTTAAGCTCTATAAGATGGCGTTAAGAGATTTTAAGTACGGCGTTTCATTCCGGCGATATCATCATCAACTTTATTTTTTCATAAATTCCGTGAAAAACATCACCATATTACGAATACAACGATGTAAAACAACATTGCTTTTCTACCTCCTTCGCTAAAATGCCCAATTATTCACGGATCTGACATGGGGAAAGTGTCATTTTACCAAGTTAGTTTCGTTCCCAGAGATCTGAGCTACTTCGTAGATTTCCAGGATGTTACCGCACGGGTTTTGGAACAATCGGATGTTTTCGGAGATGTTTCCCACGGCTTGAATCTTGGCGTCTGTCAATTATGACAGTCATGTCAGTGAATGTATTCGTGTTATTTTGCAAATATGTACCAAAAAACTAACGGTTGGAGAAAAAATATAGTATGCAACACGTTTGATAAACTTTTTAAGTCAATGCGGTTTCCCACACTTGTTGCATAATATATAAATATAAAAAAAGGGTTTTCATTTAATTTGCAGAGCTTTTGTGTAGTGGGCGCTGATATGATGGCGTTGAGAAAATGTAAATAGTATATGCAACACGCTACGCTCCGCTAGTGCCAAATACACTCGTGACAGAAGATAAGATATTTGATCGAAAGAATGATACAAATAATGGAATTTTTAAATGGAGAAACAATCTTTATTGGGCAAGAAATAATTCTGGAGTATATTGAATATTTGAATATCAACATGGTTTTAGTTTAATATGTGAGTTGGAATTTTTTGAACACATTTAACTTTTCTTAACTCTTAACTCTCCATTATGTTTACCAGCGAGTTTTTAAGACTGAGGGTCAACTGAGTAGACTATTTCTTGAAGCCTTTCAAAACATTGCAACTGATATGTCAAAAATTGTTTAAAATTCGACAGGTACAAGGTGTTATCTGCCTTTGGAAAATAATGGTCGCCTATTTGAACATTCTTTATATTTTTTTTTAGCAGTAAGTGCTTGTAAGTAATTTGCTTAATTAATACCATGTGACGTGATCTACCTATTTACCTTTCATGTCATATACTTTTTATTTATCATGTCAGTGCCTAGTACATCGAAACATTTATAACTTACTAAAAATCCTTTCTTGTGGTTTAAACATTGAGTCGGATATCATTGAATTCACAATAAAAAAAATGCTATTTTATGAATTATGTGACAGAATATGCTGATGAAATGCTAGCTTCAGTATTCCCTGTATCTGCGACGCGACGCTTGCATAAAACTTTATATATATGAGAATTTTGTAGTTTGTGTTCAGTTCTCCTTGTAACGGGTTAAATAAAACCTCGTAGTTCTGTTTGTAAAACAAAAAGGTGTTTTTTAAAAACGAGACCCTTCGTTCGAAAACCTTAACTGGCGCAGTCGTGACGGATTCGGGGTAGTTTTCGGTCAAAGCCACGTCATCGGGACGATTTGATCGCGAAACGTGGGTTTCATCCCTTTGACTCCAAAACGAACCAGTCATAGACTGTCTGACAAACCCAACGTGATTGAGTTCGACTGAGGGCAAGGAAGGCGAGAAATCACCCCCGCAAGCAGTGCTACGCAAGGAAAATTCCAATAGGAAGAATAGGCTGACAACTAAGAGAAATCAAGGTTAGTGCCCAAAAATCCTATTGTTCTCTTTTCATCTTCCCTGGTTAGGACGGTGGAAATAATTTTAGGATTCTTAGTTTTAAGTTCAATTTTAAGAAATTTCAAAATAAATTAAATTTATGAACGAAGATAAAGACATCGACAATTTAAGTGCGTTTTTTACTACCTTAAATTTAGTGGAAAAGAAAGTAGAGAATAGTCAAATCAATTTGAAAATGAATTCTAATCAATCGTCGAATTCAGGTGTAAATTACACTTTGTTAAAAATGTTTATAGATAGTATTCTGCCATATAATGGTGATTCCAAAACTTTAAATAGTTTTCTATCAGCTGGAGATTTCCTTTTTGATACATATGGCCAAGGAAACGACGAAATTTTAAAACAATATTTGTTAAGAACTATAAGAATGAAACTTGTTGATCGCGCACAAATTCTAGTAGGATGTAGAATGGAGTTAGTAACGTGGGACAATATTAAAGTAGCTTTGTTAAATTGTTTTGGCGATAGACGAAACTTAGAATGTTTAGAACAGGATTTGTTTATGGCCACCCCCTTTAAAAATGAACAAACATCCTTTAGATTTTGGGAAAAGATTACAAGTTTTAAGAAGTATCCTTGCTCAAAAAATTAATGCATTTCCTGCCGATACTATGGATAATGCAAGCAAAGTAATTCATTTACGTCAATACGATCAAATTTGTTTAAGGACGTTTATTAGAGGATTACCAGGACAATTACAAAGTATTATAAGACTTAAAAATCCAAGCTGTATAGAATTTGCTATGACCCAAATTATTGAAGAGGAAAATTTTCAATATACACAAAATATCTTCAGAACTCCAATTCAATCAAAAGTTTTGCCTAATACTTCTATCGAACCCGTTAAACAATTTTCACAAAATCCAAATTATTTTAGTAACCAAAATTTTAATTATGTACAACCGATTCGCCCTACAAATTATTTTCAAAACAATAATCACCATAATCAAAATTTTAGAATTAGGCATGATCAAAATCAGTTTACTCCCCAGATTAATAGTGTTCCCAGAGGTCCAATTAATATGCCTCAACCACGCGAAGTTCCAAGAAATATTCCTACAAATAGGCAAGTTTTTGGCCCACCTAAAAACGTATTTAAACCGACAGGTCAGGTACCTAACGATGAACCCGAGCCTATGTCAACAAGAACAAACTATACTATACCACGTCAAAATAATCAAATTAACCATTTCAAACCTACTGGCCCTAGAAATTTTATTTCGCAAGAATTATACCAAATCGACGAAAGTAACGCGGTACAAACAGATGAAACATTTGCGGTATTTCAAAATGAAAATATTCACCAAGAGGAATACTCTGAAATTGAATTTTCAAATCAAACTGAATACTTTAATGACACTCAAAATTTTGACGAACAACCTGAAATTGAAAATCAAATCTCTCAAAATTTTACAATAACGAGCCAATGCGACTTAACGAAATGACATTAGAAATGTAAACCGAAATTAATAATTGTTTACCGTACATCCAGATTAAAGAACCCGCAATTAAACTTTTAATTGATACTGGTTGTTTTCACTCGATTCTTCGACCTTCCATTGCAGAAAAATTTTATTATAAAAAAATATATCATTCCCCAACTATTATTAAAACAGGAACTGGTGAAAAGGACACTCTATTTAAAGCAGATATTCCGGCTTTCCCAGAATTAAAGGCTAATACCAACCCATCTTTTATTCTTTTTGACTTTCATAAATTCTTTGACGGTATAATAGGATTAAACGACCTAAAACAATTAAGGAATAATACAACTAATATACCAATTTTATTTAGACAACCACAAAATGAAATATATTGTAT